TTATTATAACCTTCACATTTTCATTTTATAAGCACATACACGCGTTACATACACACACACACACACGTAAATGAAATTGAACATCTTATTTATAATTGTGCACGTGCACGATATTCACTTAGAATCAAGTGATTTAAAGATTTTTTGAAATTTTTTTCACTAGATTCATAATTAAAGAAAGACAGGTGCATCTAGATTTTCGTTGTTTCTATAGAACTTTTTCTTTAACGTTTAAGTTAGAACGAAATTATTGGTATCTCTACTGACGTTCCGATATTTAGGAAACGAACGTTTTTTACCCTGTCTTGAAGCTATAGTTTGAGGCTAGGTTACAATTTTAGTAAAATCGACAATTTAAAAATGCACAAAATACAAACTTTATTACAAGCACTTCTCTATCAACGCTTCGTCCGATCAATATAGTTCCATGGAACTTTATGTTTGTTATAGTATGTAGATGTTCCTTTTCTCCAGACGAAATTTTATCCGAGCGATAGTTCGGGAGTTATATCGTAAATATTGCTTTTTTCCAGTACACTTATTATTCTATTTATGAGCTAAGTTATAGGCTCACTAACGATAATTAAACGGTTCTCGATAGACGATGTGCATTATGGTATGTGAGTGGGTCATGATTAAGTGTATTACATACGTCAAAGGACATTATTATAAAAACACTTCAGTACAGAGATACAGAACGTTTTATTAACTCGTTAGCGTTAATATCCTATCAGCTCATTTCTTCAACGTGTGTACTTTAGTTCAGTTTTGCATAACATTCCGTTTGTTTAGCTCTGCTAATTGCTGAAAATATTGGTTCTTCACTAATTACATTTGTTTGTGTAGAATACTAGTGTAGCTAGTTCGTTCGAAAACTACTCGAAATTCGAACTAATCTACTTCAGTACCTTCTACAAAGACACTATAGCATTACAGCGACACAGAGACGGATCTACTGTTTGTAAATGAATGATTATTGTACTACAGTATACGTCGCGCCTAAAGGTTTTAATCAAAGAAAAATCCAAGCATAGGCGGCGCAAGTTAAAGTTCCTGGGGGTAGCAATAAATTTTTTAAACTCATAATTTTAATAAATAATAACAACTCCCAGTTCCCACTTCTTCTAACAACTCCCAGAATATGTGTTATTAGGGGTAGCAATAACTTTCTATTGCTACCCCTCGCTACTATGGCGCGCCGCCTATGAATCCAAGGATCAATTCGGTCGAAAACGTGATTCTGTAACTTTGTCTGCTATTTGTTTGTCTCCATATCTTTCGCACAAAGAGATGCATGGTACTCACGCATCTCATTTTGCGAGAAAAAGTGTGCCAGACAACATATCGGATCTCAGAACTCTCTAGGATTCTAAGTGAAGGAGATATTGCAGAAATATTCAAAACTACTCTTACAAAATTTTCTTTTTTTAAACACTGCAAGTCTACGCTTTGTTCATCCTCGGCAATAAAATATAATCAAAAATCCTCGAGAGTCCTGAGTTCCGCTATGTTGTCAGACACACTTTTCCTCACAAAATGAGACTCTTGAGTTCCACGAATCTCTTTGTTCGAAAGATATAAAAACGAGAAATTAGTCACGAAATTACGTTCCGACCTAGCCTGTATGGTGGCGAAAAGAGGCGTTTTGTGGAAAACATGTTCAGTGTAGTAATTCAAAAATGCAGTTACGAAGGCCTAAACTTTTCCGATTCACGACATGAAAAGATTTGTTCTTTTAGCTGGAATATTCAGAGAGATGCTGTTGTAAGTAACTAGCAGAGATAATAATTTCAATATACCATCATCTGTACATCAGAAAATCGATTGTTCTATGGTTTGCTGTTCGATAATTGAACTATTCAACGACATAAAAAAGGTTTATAGAACAAAATAAGTAAAAATATTTTAACTATTGTTGTTCTTCTATTACAATCACATGTTTAGAAGGTGATGATTAGTAAAGGGTGTATAATTTTTGTAATAACCATTGAACGATATTTGGAATATAAGAAAAGGAAGTAGCTTAGAGTAAGATTAAGAAATATGAATTGTAATAAACTCCTTTAGATTTAAATCTACTATTGTCATTTTATTACACAATTGAGCATAATTCACAAAACTTTATAAAAACAAGCATAGCAGTGACTCACTGAAATATACTTTTTGACCCCATTATGTAATCTGTTTCAATAATTCTAAAAATTTATCAAACAGATATGTTCTAACAAGAAGTTTAACTGAGTTTTTCAAGAGACAATGTATACCTTTCCTCACTGAACAACCACTTAGGTTACATATTCTGACAGGTACATAACACGTGGGCATCGGTAGGTGGAGTAGCTCGCCCTCATCCTGTTTTCTAAGAACTTTTGTTTTTTCTCCTGCAAAATGTTTTTTTGAAACATTAAACTGACACTTTGCACAAAGCTGAAAAGCATCGTTATCTGTTTCTATACACATTGTGAAAACGTTTGCCAAAAGTTATTTTATCGCCCCCTCCTATTCTGAACGTCGAGATACTGTAACATCATCATCGTGTAAAACATCGCGGTTTGGTTTCAGAATAGGTAGTACGTGATGTCTACCATATATGGTAGACATCAAGTACTACCTACCTTAAAAACATCGCGGTTTCATCTCGTCTCGTTCAACAGAAAAACGAAATGTACGTTTTTCACGGACATAACTTCTAATAAAATAACTGCGAATTTCTTGAACTATATTAAATTTGCGCTCTTTCCGTTAATTTTTGCTGTTATATGCATATAACTCTCAGTACTCACTATAGTGAGCACTGAGAGTTAGCAGATGTTCATAGTGAAGATAAACGTGTAAAACTAGAACTTTTACTGAACTTACTTGACCGAATCACAGATTTTTAGACAACCATCATTTGATGAGCTTTTCCCGATTACCTTATCTGTTAGTACGAAAGAAGAACTAGATAGATATTCAAACACTTCTTCTCATTTCATTCGTCACCGTCTCATATATTCTTTTTGGTGATGATTCTACAGATTCAAATAGAGATTCTATTAACAATTAAAAACATCACAAAAGAATACGCCTTTACCACAACTTCGGCCAAGTTTGACTCCAACTCAACTCTAACCAGAAAAAAGTTTAATACCGGGGTTGAAGTTGCCGAAATCTTCTTTATAACTCTTCAATTTCCAGCTTATCTACAGCCCGAATTGTGTAAAGAAACAAGTTTTGTTTTAATCAATTATTTTTTTAAAGTCTTGTTAAAATAAGCTGAAAATGTGAATCTCACTACAACATTAACATACAATAGTATCTTTATTTAGGTATCGTGTCATGAACACTTACCATTATGATCTAACCACCAGCAATATTTTAGGTTAAAAATAGTATTAGTTTACCATACATCAGCTTATTTATGTCTGCATTATGTATTTCAGGAAACAATATCACTTAAAAACAGATGTATTACTAGTATAAATATGTGGCAAACAGGATATCCTTTTACAGAATGATTCATTAGATACTGAAATATCAGTGTATAGTTATAAAAAAAATTAGCTTATTTTCGTGTTATCACAGTGCGTCAATCACCCCAAAACAACAAACTATTATATATTTTTTGTCATCTTTCTATGCCCTCTGCTCTTTAACTACGCATAAGAGTTGACAAAATGTCGATTAATTATCTCTAATTTATTATTCACGAAGTGATACACACGCTGTTTTATAGGGTGGGTGACAAAAAATATGTTCATCTTTTTTTCGCCCATGATAGTAGTCGAAGTCAATCGTTCGATGATGATCTATATATTCGCAATTAACAATAACAGAATCTAATTATTAGGGTTTTGTTAACAGGGGCGTATTTACTGGGACTGGTCCTCCTCATTTTAGAAAAGCTTTTTTACTATCGTCGCATAAAATTTTTGATACGTCTTATAGCATGTAGAAGCTGAATTTTCAAACGTGTAATAACTTGGGTGTCTCAGTCGGTATTGTTCGAAGCCTTCCCGCTTCCAAACAATCTTTTCTGGATAGAACAAAAAATTGTTTGAGGCAGAACCACCCCTCTGCTCTGAGATCAAGGGGGGAAAAGCGGACTCCTGGACTCCCATGGACTCCTGAAGTGCAGGAGTCCAAGTGCAAAGTGCTCTTTTTTGGGAATCACTTCGCAGAAAATGAACACTTTTATTCTTTTCTGGGAAGTGATTCCCAAAAAAGAACACTTTACTCTTGGACTCCTGGACTTCAGAAGTCTATAGGAGTCCAGGAGTCCGCTTTTTCCCCCTTGTCTGAGATGCTAGCTACGCCCCTGTTTGTTAACATATATTTTGGATATGGAAAATGGACAACTACCTATACCGTTTTCTATTTCATCATCATGTATCAGAAATATGCGTAACAAAAACCACAAAAAACACGTGACATATCGAAAAAGGTAACCCATGTTGTGAAAATTGTCGGTGAACCTACGGTTATTTTCGGTTAATTGTGCGCTTAACTGTCGGTTTCTACACTACATTGCTATGGTTTTTACTGAAATAACCGTGGTTATCCATCGATTTTCTTGAATAATAGACGACGTGCGAAATAATTATTACTATGAGAGTTCTAATCAATCTCACTATCTGTTCCTTGAATTCATTCAAAAGTGTGAGATCATAGGGTCCTACGTTATTGTGTGATACATTTAGTTCACTGCACTTTACTAATAGATTTGCTTAGAAATAATATGTTTCGGCATACTAGCTAGATAATTATTGTATTTCTTTTTTGTTAAATGAAACATGCCAATAATCTACATTAACATTATCGTAAAAAAAACAAATTACAAAAAATCTATTAAATAATTGCAAAAAAAACAAAAAAGCATACTACAAAAAGGCAACACGTAAATTTTTTATCAATTATTTACAACATAATTTCATAAAGAAATCTACGAGATACTAATAATACTTTTTTCTAAAAAAAGAAACTGGAAAAACAAAATCATATACAAAACGAAAAATGCTTCGTTAAATGGCACCAAATTCAGTTATTAAAACCAGATCTTTCTCGATAATGGACGATGGTGGATCGGTGGCAGTGAGTTTCAATGGTGATGATTGCTGCTGTTGTTGCGCAAGAAAAGTAGTTGTTGTTATTGGTGTTCGATGTCCACGACGTAATGAACTACCATTTTGTGATAGATTTAATGACTGAGTTGATGAACATCGACGTTGATTCGATGGTGAATAATCATAGACAGCACGTTGAATACCTGAAAAACAATTTTACAATAGTTATCCGCAGCTAATTATTATGATATTTTTACTCAAAATTAGCAATCAAGCTATAAGTCGACTATCAACGAACAGTTATGAGTCAGATAATAACGTTAGGCTAACAGTTTCAAAAACACAAAATAATCGTATTGATAGTAGCGGGTAAAAGTACAGTCTCCTACCATCTAAAAAGACACTTGAGAATAATTTTTATGACTCGCCGTTTGTTTGTGTTTACATTACAGAACACACGGTAATCGCAAGATCTACTGCCGTTTAACTGTATCATTCAGAAAATATATGCGTTTTTACTATTGTGACCTCTAACTGGAAGTCACTACCCGTTCATACAACGAGAAGATATCTGTCAACCTATCATTGAACAGCTGTTTATTTCAGCTATCTATCATATAAATAGCGCGTCAAAACTCTCATTGATTAAAGAGTTATGAGCGCCCAGTCATTTTGCATTTTTTCAAGGTGTACTTCTTGCACGATCATACAAGATCTTACGAAACCTTGTTGCAAAAAAAATGTTGTGAAATCGCATAGGATTCTTAAACAAGCATTCTTTTAAAATCTTATGGTATCTTGTACCACAATATCGCTGATAATCCAAGTTCGTTACAAGCAGGCATGTCCTCATCAAGTGTCATCGACAATTTAGCACCCTCAAGGTCACCTGTTCAATCATCCACGTTTATTTTTTATCCTCCTAAGCATCACACACCACACTTAGTTTAAGCGCCGAAGAATTCGAGTCTGTTTATGATGATGTTTCTGCTTCAAAAGGGTTTTGTACTCATCCACAACAAACAACAACCATGCCCAACTCTAACCAAAGAAAATGTCCGCTTCCAACTAGTTTGGTTAAAAAACGAGTGTCACTTGTGACAAGAACAACAAATACAATAACAAACATAGGTGAACTGGTTAGAAATTGGGACAAATGCGCTGATCGTTTTCCTGAAGAAAGTATTTGAACCATTTTATTTAACACTTGTTTGTTTGTGTATTATTATGAGGGATGAGCGTTAAAAATGTTGATGTCTTTTGTACAAAAGAACTTTTCTGAGTGAATTTCAACCGGGCTTTTGAAACGAAAAACTTAAATTGTACAGAAATGCTTTTTTTCTCAAAATTTGTGATGTTTCGTTGAAGCGATATGCGCTATTGAATACAAAAATTTTCGCTAAGTTAGTGATAGCTTTTTGTTTTCAACTATACATAAACAATCACAAATTGTGCAATATTTCACAGTACTATAACTAAAATAATCAGAAAAACTGATACGAGAAAGATTCGAAAGAGTGAAGCTTTTATGACATTCAAAATCATGACACTTTTCATTTCGTTCTCTCAAATGAAAGTTGTATTTTCAGGTAGTTACAGAAAACGATAAGGATGCAAACAGGCTTTCGCTCTCTCTCTCTCTGTACATGGTTAAACTACAAAGTTGTTGACTCTGAAAGACAGTGATGTCTCACATGTTGTTTCTTACCGCTTTCTTTTCCATCTGAAATCACAGTCACATGAACAACAAAAGATAATCCCACTTGTCTTTCTAGTTGACGCTTCATCAACACAAACTCTTCCAATGTAATACTGCTCTTCGTTCTTTTAGTCGAGATATGAGTGTTCGATACTGTGATGTAGATCCAGAGAACAAGAAACTGTCACCGGTGTATGGTTATCTCAGTTCACCACTAGTGTCACTGGAAGTCTCACTTGAGAAAATAGTACCACTCATCGACAATCTACAGCGCTATATTAAAATCGACGATGATGATGAATCGATCAGTACTTCAGTATCGTCACTCAAATTGAATGAGAGAACAAGTACAGATGTATCATCAATAGTCATGAAGAAGACCGTGAGTTTAGCTGCTGATGGTACCTTCGAAGGTGATAGTATCAATGATGTGCCAAACGGTAAAGGTGTATGTGCATGGCCGGGAGGCACACAATATACGGGCGAATGGCATGATGGCAAAAGATACCTTCAAGGAACCGAGACATATGCGGATGGAGACATATAACGGCGAATGGCAAAATGACAAAAGACACGGTGGAGGAATTGAGACATATGCGAATGGGGACAGATGTGATGTGAAATATAACAACCGTACACAAATTTCGTAGTGTGTGAGGACTTGATGAATGTGATGTTTCATTTGCTGCGTAATTCTCTGGAAAAGACATTTCTCAGGATAGTTCTTTCTAGAACATCTGTTAGACTGTTTAGCCAGTTTTTGCATATCGTTTCATGGTGCTTTATTGTTGGTACATTAGTGATGAAGAAAAAAACAACAGACAATACTTTCGTTTTTCTAGAAATCTATGAAAGTAGCGGAATACTATTTTCTAGTCTTAACTACAACACCAGATTCAGCAGAAAAAATGGATCAAATGTTGAAATTCTGCAGTAGTAGAAAAATGTGGAAGACAATGATTTTATGTTGTGCGATAAAAGAAATCAACAAACAACTAGAAGGCAGCGCCCTAAAAAAAGCGAATTATTGGATTGATTATGAGTGTCTCCTTAAAGGACAACACTAATTTGGCGACAATGTAATTTGATGTGATAATTACAAGTGGAATTATATTTATTAATGATCATCTTTGGCTGTGCAGTTATTTTTAATTCAAGTACGTGAGAAACAATAATGTTCACATGCCTTTCTTACTTTTACTTCTTTACTTAAGTTTTTCGTCACCGGTATCTGAAAAGTTGGTGCTAGTATATTTTATTTCAAATATAAAAATCAGAAAATAATTACCTGGTGAATCACGAATAGGTCGAAATGGTGATTGTCGTGGTCCTCCATTTTCATTAGCGACGATCTAAGGATTAAAACAAGCAAATAAAATAAATATATTCCGGGACTATTTCTTCTCACTTACATAATCGGTTGTTTTCGGTGGCATAAGTCGCATTGGACTGAAAATAAAGATTAAATCATTCCAGTGATATTTCAATAAACAAATGAAAACATACGTGTAAGACGTTGAAACATTTTCCTCAATGGGAACAGATGGAGATTCATCTATAACAAAGATCATAAAACATGAAAATGACTATTACTGTTACGCTATAAAAACATTTTAGATTTACCTTTTGACGATGAATCAACTAGACTATCGGTCGATTGATGGCAATGTGCCGGCGGTGTGACATCTAAAATAACCATTAAGAGTACAATTATCAAAAACTAGCTTTGAAATGGTTCGCTTTCATAGCTTAGAGATAATTTGTTTGGCAGCATAGAATTTCCATTAAACAAGCTCTTGTAAAAACAGTTCGCATATTTTGAATATATCAAGGAGCGAGCAAGAACAAAAGCAGAGCGATTAGAAATCAGAATAATCATGCGGAAGCATACATAAAGCTGCACAACACATAGAACGAAGTACAATATTCTTACGAATCGGATTATGTGGTAAATAACACAACACAGATCTAGTGTGCTATAATAGTAATAATCCTAGAAGAATCGGATCAAGAATTGTTATTAAACCTAAATTAGTGTTTTAGTGGATTTGAAAATGTTAAAAAACTCTAGAAATGCTTACCATTTCCATACTCTGGTGTAAATAAATGATGATGATAGCGTGCTGATGGCAAACTTGATGATATGACATCAGGAGCTAGAAAAACAATGACATGAGTGAAATAAATTTAATGATTTCACATCACATGTCATACTTGTTGATCTGGCATGTTGTGGTTGTTGATGTTGACTATTGTTTTCAATTGATGATGTTGATGGACTAGCTCGACTATCACAGTCACCATTTCTGCCTATTGCTGTGGTTGATTCGTACAAATGACAATCAGCTGATGATGTTCGAGAACGTCTATTCGCCAAACGATCAAGAATATTGCGAGTTTTACGTGAAACAGATTGAATTAAACCACGTGAGCTAAAAAAAATAGATATGATTTTTATTTGCACCAAGAAGGCGACTGAATTTCATACGCAAAACAGACAATTATGTTATATTCTATCTATATTTCTCAGAAGATAGTCAGCCGTATGAATAATTTAGCTATAGATTAAATGGTATACACTAACAGTTTATCTAGTACTAATGATTTATCAATTCAATTCTGAATGTTAATAAATATCCGTACCGTCTTGGCTTGCTCATATTTTTATATTGTTCCATTATTTTCATTTCTAATAATTCTTTTTGTCTCATTAGATGATGAAGTTGTTCTCTGAAGAACACAGAAATAAACAAGATTATACTATTCTATTAAAATTAATTACTGTGAACATACAAATATCCTCTGGCTTCTTCATGAAATAAATCTTTATTGCTTAATGCTTGAGCTAAAACATTTTGATTTTGTTGTACAAGTGAATGAAGTTGATCAATTAATTGACTTTTTTCTTCTTCTGTACGATCACTATGCAATTCCAAAAACTGAAAAAAAGATAAAATGTCAGAATGATTAATTAAAATGAAGAAACCTTTACTTCATATTTTGATATCAGTTGTAAATAAAGGGCATTAATATTTGTATATTTCATTTGTATACAAGCTAGTTCACTACGTGTTTTACTTAAATCTAATTTCATATCGTCTAACTGTTGTTTTAATAATTGATTTGATGTTAAACATTCTTGATATTCAGAATTACGTGTTTGAAATTGGCGTTGTAATGTGATGTACTAGAAAGATAAATGATAATATAGAAATTTCAATATAGAATACAATATCTTTCGTATACCGTACATGTTCATCAAACGGTTTTTGTTCGGCTAATTTTGCTTCTAATGTATGAAGTTGTGCTAATAATTGTTGAACACGATTTGATGAATCATTTCTCTCTTTACTAATGTTATTCAGTTCATTCTAAAGATATATGAAAATTCTTTCAAAAATTATACTCGATCTCTGCCATATACTCTGGTAAAGAGAATTTTTGGGGAGGTTTCACCTCTCTGCTCACGGATGAACGCACATTAAAATGATGAGAAGGCACAGTAAGCCTTTAAAAGTGAACTTCAGCGGCATTACAGCTTTTTATCATCTCTGAAGAATCTTATCCTTGTAATCCCAAGCTGAATCGCTCTAATAAAAAAGTTCTTCTGTGTATTTTGATTTACTAGGTGTTTTCTTCGATATCCCATAAACACACGTAGATCTTATGCCAATGACAGGCTGAAACCGAGATTTATAGGAGTCCGGAAGGCTAATAATTGTTTTGAAAGGAATATGACAACAGACTTCTTCAGCTTCTGTTGCGCATTCATAACAAATATCCAGTTAAAAATTGATGTTTATGACTCTCTCACTTCTGTCCAATTTTAGCTGATCCCTCTCCCTTCACATCTAGATGTCTTAAAAAAGACATCTAGATATGAAGGGAGATGCCCCGAATACTTCGAACCACTCACTTAAAATCTTCTATCATTTAATGAGTTATTAAATGTTTTATTCATATCATAAACATTTACACATTGCTAAAAATTGATGGTCTTCATATAAAATATTCAAGAAGTTTGGCCAGTGTATAGCAATACAATTCCTGAATGTGTTCACAAAGAGTGGGACAGAAAAAGCTAGATCAAACTATTATGATCCTATCCGAACTCGAACAGTTTCAGTTTTTCCAGTCAACATGCTAGTCTGGCCTATTCATACATTAATAACATAAATGAAAATGCTGCGAACAACAGTCATGTTGCAGACTTACTTGTAGATATTTACATTCTTTTGTTAATATTCGATTTGTTGTTTTTTGTTCATATAATTGATTGATAGTTGTATCTAACTCATATTCTAGTTTTGTATAAAGTTTTTGTAATTGATCATGATCATAAGCTAATTGATCATATGTTTGTTGTAAATGATGACATGATTGTAATGTTGATGAACGATCATTATCAACTGTTTCAACTAATTTACGTTGTTTATCTAAATCGAGTTGTAATTGTTCAATACGTTGTTGATATGAACTTAATTCCAATTGTAAACGTTGTTTATCACTTTGAATATCGGATAGATGACGACTAATAGTTTCAACTGTCTCTTTTAGAGAACGTTGAATCGATTCATATTGACGAAGTTGAACATGAAGATGAACATTATCAGATTTCAATACAACATTCTAGAAAGAAAGAAAATAGTTTTAGTAAGAAAAATATCAGTTAATTATTCTCCATCTTTTCTATCATTATCTAAACATAGCTTACCTTTCGCTCAATTTCCATAAAATAATCATTCATATTTTCATCGGATTTTGGCCTAAAAACAACAAATATTAGATTTCAAATAAAAATTAAAATACAACAAAATACCAACCTAACATCAATTATTGTTATATTTGACGCTTTTTGATCGATATTATTAATACTACTGTCATCTGTAACTTCTTGTAAAGTTACGGGAACTTTTTGTTGTAGTTGTAAACTGTCAACTTTTGTTTGTAAATCTTCACGCTGTACAAGTTCATCATGTAAATCCTAAGAAGAAAACAATATCATTCTGACAGTGGCTAAACTTTCTAACTCTTTGTTTTACATACCTGACGTAATTTTTCAATTGTCAACTCATTATTCAATAGTTTTTGTGTCATTTGATCCCATTCTCGTTGTTTATTCAATTCTAATTGTTCATATTCTTTTCGTTTATCATCACTATATCGTTCTAATTTTTTTTTTTCTTGTTCTAATTCACGATTATGTTGTTGCAATTTTAAATGTTCTGCCTTTATTTTTTCTAACTGTAAATTTGTTTGAGTAGATTTTTCAAGTTGTATCATATATTGTTCACATTTTAGTTTTAATTCTAAATGATCTTGTTCTAATGTTGTATGTTCTTGTTGTTGTCGTAGAAGACATTCATGAGAATGTTTTAATTCAAGATAATCATGTTCAATTGTTTCATAATGCTTTAATGAATATTCTAATAATTGTCGACGTTTATCACTATCTAATAGATCACGAGCAGTTTGATCATGTTTCAATTGTAAAGAGATAATACGTTCATTTAATGTACATTCACGATCACGAATTAAAACTAATTGGTTATGTTCAATCTTGAAAATAGAGAATAGTACAATGTTTATTTGTACATCAATATTAAAATCGGCTTTTCATCCATCAAAAACATTTTCCATCAAAAACTAACGTCATATTCGTATTCAGCGTGAAAAATTGCGTTTAGCGATGTGTCACTCAAAGTTTAGCAAAAATGCCTATATTTCCCTATCAAGTGTTAAATATGTTATAAATAAAGGCACTTTTGCCAAGCAAAACATTTGCTAAACTTTGAGTGACACATCACTAAACGCGTTTTTCACGCTGAACACGAATATGACGTTAGTTTTTGATGGGCGAAAAGCCGGTTTTAATGTTTAGAAACCCGTTTTCCTCTCTGAACTTAAAAAATCTAAGCTTCTCTTTTCATACTCCTATACAGTAACTACTTGACTACATAATGACGCAAAGATATCCAAAAAATGTTTACCCTCCCGTGCAGAAAAGATATTTCAAAAATAGCCCTAAGATCCAAAACATTAAAAGATGGGTCAAATTCCTTCACATAACTTCTAGACTATATTTATTTTACTCAGTTTTTGATGCTCTTTCGCATGGCTTAATCAAAATTCTTTTTTCATCCACTCATTCTCGAGATTCAGCAGTCATACTGAAGAGTATGGCATTTCTGGCTTAAAATCGCGTTTTTACCCTAAGGAAAAAGCTTTTCAAAATTATTTTTTTTATCAAAATGTATCTCGCGCTCTGTTCTATCAATTAATGTAGTTTTCATATTTTGTCAGTGCTTATACAACATAAAAAAAGAATTTTATCAGCCGTACAAATAATTTTTGCCCAAAACACATAGACCTCTCTATTGTTATAGCCATAAGTCTAGATGCAAAAGGCCTAGTGATTGCAAAATTTAACCTTAGGCAGCGGAGCCAACGGGCAATCTGTGAGTGGTTTTATAATTTTAAAAAACACCTTGATCACAGAATTATGAGCAAACACTGATCGTATAAATAATTTTTGCCACCACTGTATTCAACAATTCTTACCTCTAATTGACTATATTGTTGCATAATATCAATAATTTTATCTTGTAAACGTTTATTTTCTAATTCAATATCGTGTATTTTTGTTGTCTGTTCCATTTGTTCTCGCTGTTTCATCTTTTCCATTGTTAATTTTAAATGTTTATTTTCTGTTTGTAATTCACATACATATTTTTGATATTGTAATTCATCAGCTTGTTGTTTTTGTTCAAGATGAATTTTTTCTTTACATATATGATCATATTTCATTTCAATTTGTTCAATATTTTGTTTATATTCAACAAGTTGTTCTTGTAAAAGAGATAAATGAATTTGTTGTTTTTCATATTCAATTTGTTTTATATCTAAATAAATAGAAAAAAAAATAATGTAAGAATAAAATTACTATTTGAATAAATATTATATACCAGCTTTTTCTTTATATTGTGATAATTCAATTTCTAAATGTTTTGTATGTAATTCATATTTTAAAATTCGTTGTTTTATTGTTTGTTGACATTGTACAGTGAATGATAATGATTGTTGATCAGTCATTGTTGAATCTTCACGCGCATATTTAAGTTCATTATTAAGAGAATTCATTTGTGTTGTTGTAGAATTTAAATCAAATTCTAAACGAAGTTTATCTTCGAGTAAATATTCTAATTTATCTCGAATAAGATCACGTTCATTAGTAATTAATTCAATATCACGTTTAAAACGTGATAAATTTAATTCAACTTGTAACAATTCTTGAACACGAATTTGATATGATTCAATTTGTTGTTCTAAATATTGACGAGAATCAGACAATAAATGATCTAAATTAAAAAAAAAAAAACGCTTTTAACTTCAAGTTGTCCGATAGCATTTTACTCTTAATTGTAACAATATATACTTTCTTGTTGTAATTCATCAATCTTCAATTTCAAATGATCAAATTCATCTAATTTTTCTCTACAACGAGATAATTCTTGTTCACATTTCTCTATTTTACTAACCTATAGAGAGAGAGAGAGAGAAATAAAAATATTATAATCAAAGTATATGTAAGAGTTTTATTTACTTTTTCTCTTAATGAATCAATTTCATCTCTATATAATCGTGTTAATTTTGATTGTTGACTTAATTCCATATTATCATTTTTTAAACGATTTACTTCCAGTCGACATGAATCTAATTCATCTCGAATTGTATCAATTATATCTATTTTATCATCACTAAAAATAATAAATAATATAAAACATTTTATATGTCTAATTTTTGTCTTCTTCTACGTACATATCCAATTTCATTTGTCTCATTTTTTGTTTATATTCACTAATTTCAATTTCGGGATGTTTTGCTTCTAAATCGTTCAAAAATGTATTTAATGATGTTTGACTAGGTGTTGAATGTAAACCTCCACCACCACTCATATTTTTTTCTCCTTTTTCTCCTCCTTGTATTAAATTTGAACCCGATTGATATTGTTCAAGTTTTTGTTTTAATAAATCTTTATCTTGTTCTAATTCTAATATATCTTCATAAAGTATATCACGTTCTTGAACTAATTTTTCAATATTTAAAAATAAAATTTTCAATGATTCATCTTTTGGTGTTGATGGTTGAATAGTACTATTTATGTCATCGGTAAATTCTTGTAAATAGGGCATTAATGACTGTTGAACAGGCTCATCAAGAGTTTGTAAACGACGAATATGAACTTCTTTTGAATCTCCCGATATTGAACATGCTAATAGTAACAATAAGATACGTTCGATTTCATTAAATGAATATTCTAAATAGAAACAAGAATAAAGTGGTATTAGTATTTAAATACTATGAAACTTTAAATGTATTCTTCATGTGTTTACCAGCATAGGGTTCTTTAGCAATCATATAAATATTAGGTAATTTTGTAACAATCAAATATCGCAAAACATCCTGAAAACATAGAAGTTATTGTAACAAATGTAAAGTTTATTTCGCTTGTCATACCTGAACAAATGATCTTATACTTCTTAGAATAAAATCTAAATTGACTAGTCGACTACTCGTATCATCAGCATCGTGTGGAAGTTTGGAATTTTGTAATCGAGGATCACTAAACAAATGAGTTGAAGATATATTTTTTTTAAAAAAATGAGATTTTGATTGGCTAGAATACACTAAAACATTCTTTTACTATGTAAGAGCTGAACGATTCGTTCATTTATGGTTTGCAATCAAAAAGCATGTCAAATAATAATTCCAGCAGGTAATAAAGTAATCATAAGACGGCGAATTATTCTATCATTCTCATTCTGTTTAAAGTAGTACCCAAGCGTCGAAAAAAAATCTAGTATCGCCCAATTCATCTAGATTACTAGATTTTTACTCGATTGCAATTATTGCATAACGACAGTAGAAATCTAGCAATCGGGCGATTGCTAGATTATTTCTAGTTGCAACTACTGATTTATCGCTCGATAATCGATCGATTTAGCTATTGGTAGTTACACGTGCAGACATATCTAGTTAAAAATTTCTTTTCCAACTAGTAATCTAGATGACAACTAGTCGTATATCGCCCAATTACAGACGAAATGTATCTAGATTTTTTCCATAGGTGATGTTTTCCTGAGTACCGTAAAAAGTTAGTACTCTTATTTGACTATCACACATCTGCACAGAGGTCTTTTACTTTCCACGTCCATCTAATACATATTTGAACTGACTAAACGAGTTTCTATAAGTATTTTTAAACTTTTTTTGCATTTGAATCACTTACATTGATCGAATTATTAGATGAAAACATGAACTGTTAATGAGAGCTTCATATTGAATTTTTGATTCAACAAAACCTTCAGCCTAAATTAGAGAAATAATACGCTTATAAATTAAAGGAAACAATCGTTTGTAGAAACCCTACCCAAACAATCAGCGGACGTTTGAGAAACTGATTTATATCCAATGTTACTGGAGAAATGCTCATCATTGCGTGTCACCTCAAAAAAAGTAATAAATAGTACAGGTTTAAAAATGCGTTTAACAGAAATCATTAAAATATACGTATACCTTTTCATATGAAGCCGTGCAAACGTCATTATATTATACATCAATTGATTGATCAACAAACTCAATCGTTCAGTCACTTACGTTGTGAGGTAATAGGATAAAAAATTTAAGAGAGAAAATTTTATCTGTTTGAAAAAGAAACCACTAACTTTCAGAGGCTTGACCCAATCAAATTTTGAACTTGAACCTTTTTGAAATTTGACTACTGGAGAAACAGATTTTTCTTATACAAACAATCTTTTTTAAAAGTAATCAGAACAAATGAAGTTATTGTTATCGTAGAGGAGAAGTGAATGGAAATGATGAGGACGAAGTGAGATCAAGATGGCGACATAGAGAATTAGTCCCGCGCGCTGAATCAAAAACTCAATTGTCCATCCATACCTCTTCAGCAAACGCAATAATATTATCTATCTTACTTGACTGTGAGGACTGACAAATTGCATGAAAAAGTGCGCAAGCGTAATCATCAATCTCGGATGTGCGGGATTCAAATTCATTGGATAGCAAGCTCCAAAATGGTCAGAAAATATGAAGACTATTGAGTACCGTAAAACAGTGACATACGGTAGCGCCATCAGAGACTTTTCTCAATAAGGAAAATTTTGAGAAATTGAAACAAGATATGTCATTATTTCGGCTTATAATTCAAACTTCCATCGAGTGAATTTGAGTCCCATACATTCCAAAAGAGGTGGCGTTTATTTGTCTTGAAATGTCCCTAGTGAATGTACTCAAGTGTGAGTACTCAAAAAGTACTCTGATAGAAAAACCGGACGAGTACTCATACGTACTCACGCATTTTTTTACTCACTGAGTACTCACATGAGTACTCATGAGTGAGTAACAAGTACTCTGAGTACGACTTTGAGTACTCATGCTTGGGTATTGTTGAGTACTCATACCACTTTCGGCAAAATACTCAT